CTTACGTCTCACCTTATGCTAAGTAAAATACGCTGCCTCACGCCCCCACATTTTAATATACCTGTCATATTCATGACAACTCTTTGTGTTCCTCAATCCTATCCTATAAATAGTGACATTTGACACAACATTATACACACTTAAAATAATTCTACAAAAATAGAACAGTTCTATGGTCTCTTGTCTTTTCTCTTTTTATTAGTTTTGCTTAATGTTTATGTTTCTTGTTTGCTGTCATTTTACAACTCTCAATTGTTTTGTCGTCATTATTATTTGGAATTTATATATGCATATTGTATTTATATAGTACTAAGTCATTTTAATTTATGAACTTTTATTCAATTTTATAACGAAGGATGTATCTTTTTATAAGGAAATATACTTTTCTATTGCAAAAATTATGGATTAATTTTAGTAAATATCAGTAGATTTGAAGGACATAGAAATATGTTATTTGCAATCAAAATTTATAATAAGTATCTTGGGACAAACATGTAATGCACATTTCCAGAACTAGTACCTAATAACTGACGACCTACTTGTGTAAACAATTTTTAAAACAGATTTAGTATATAAAACGTAAAACTTTCTTAGGTATTTAACGTACAAGTGGGTGATTAGTTTATCACTCATGTGCTCCAAAACTTCACTCATATGAAGGGATTCATTAGTTTATTTACATGTATAGAAAAATAAGTCTTACCTTATTTCTATTACATAATTTTTCATAAAAGAAATTCACTTGGAATTCCTCCTTAAATTAGGTGTAAAGGGGGGGAATAATAATGGCAACCACATCTATAACTAGTAGAAGTAATTTACTTAACACTCTTAATTTTTTAACGGAGATATCAACAACAATAAAATATTAAATACAATTTTTGTATAGCATTCCTTTTTAGACCGGTTATAAAAGAAAAGTAAGATGCGTAAATTGAGATAGAGGGAAGAGTAGATCTCAATTTATGCATCACAATTTCCTTTTATAATTTGCCTACAAAATTTGTTATTTTTTTTGCAAAGGTTTTTCTACATTTTTATAATAGAGATAGAATATCTGGCCAATAGGCCATGGTCACAATCAAGGTGTCTAAATGCAAAAATAAATTGTGATAAATTTGAGGGACTATGTATTCGACCTCAACATACATATCTTGTATGTTGTGTAATGATATCTCAATTTCTATAAATCTTGAATGGTACTGTTGTGATATCTCTCTTGAAGCCAACACCCCAGACCTACAATTTGTTTGATGATCTTATTCTTTTATCATACAAGCAAATCGTCTATATATCACGACCCTTGAGTAGGCGTTCTTGTCTTCTTTGAGTCCATGGGTTGGGTAGTCAAAGAGAGTGTTGATATAGAAAAATCTTCATCTAATTCACTATAAAAGAGAGTAATTTTATATGGAATGAAGTTGTTCTTTTGGTTGATCGCTTTGAGCTCTTCAACTAGTTCGGAATTTTTTGATTTATTTGACATTGTTGGACTGTTTTATCATGGATGGGACATTTCAAGAGTCACACTACTAGATTGATGCAAATTATGAAGAATCGAGCTTGAATCTCTTTAGAGAGATCGAAATACTCAGCCATGTTGGTAAACTTATTGGCCGAAGGTTATATACCCGTACATTTTCGTGAAGTTTTATGCTCTGTTGACAGCCATTGATTAACTACAAACCCTTAAATTGATATTTTAAAGACAAAAATAAACTTATTCCAATAAAGAATACTCATGTGAATTCATGGTTGCAATTTATGTTTGTTTCAAAAATCATGGCTCTCTTCAATCTCAAATCCTGAAAATTTGTAAATAATAATTTCAATGTATCACGTAATAACAAAGAATACAACTGCAATATTGGGAAGTTGTATGAGCTATTTTAGGAGATGTGAATGTAGCAATTATAGTTTACTCTAATAGGTAGTGAGAAGTTGTATGAGTATTGAACAGTCTAATTTAGTTGATATAAGTCTCTAGAGGATGAAATTTTATGTCGATATACATTTCTACTGTGGGGGCTATCAATAACAAAATATCAGATAAGGTCTGTGTACATTCTACATTTCTCAGATCCTCGCTTTTGGAACTACACTAGATACATTGTTATTGTTGAAGTGTTGGTGGTCGTGCAACCATGTATATGGGATGCCACAACAACCGTTAAAGTAAACGATGAATATCCATACGAATCTCTAATCATATTTCCTTGTCTTATATGTAAACTTACAAGTGTTCCTCCTTTTTATGTTGTCACTATTTACATGTAATAAAAGTTATGGAGTACTACATTGTAGTACATTGATTTCAAAGTTCAAGCTAGATGAAGTAAATTATTGTCTTAAACTGTTAATTTCTCTTTGTGACATTTTTTTATTTCTTTTTATTCCTTTGGTGAATTAATTACCGAATCTTATTTTCCTCTAACAAACATTGTGATGAAAGTACTAACAATTTTAATAAGAACACGAGATTAAGAAAAACAATGCAATATATGCATATGCACAAAAGAAATAACAATTTTAATAAGAACACGAGATTAAGAAAAACAATGCAATATATGCATATGCACAAAAGAAAAGAACTTAAACTTACCCATATTTAACATACTTGTGTAAATATGATTTATTAAAGGGATAATGCACAAGTACTCCTAGACTATGAGTGAAATCTCACACACACCTTAACTAAACTAAGGTCCTATTACCGCCTGAACTTTTTTTTTGTAATTTTTTCACCTTTTGTCTTATATGGCACACTCCGTGACTCCACGCAAATGGGCCGCGTGGGAGATTTTTGGATTCCACATAAGCTAAAAAGATGTATAAAATTACAATAACAGGGTTTTTTTTTGGAGGGGGGGGGGTGTAATAAGACTTTAGTTTAGTCAAGGTGTGTCTCTGAGATTTAGGTCATAGTCTAGGGGATACTACCTTTTTCCTTGAATTAGATTACGAAGTGAGAAAATAATGTCATTTATTATAATCAACAAGAGGTAGATCTACTTATCATATATACTTATATAATTATTACCTCATAAGTGACATATTTGTCTAAATATCCTTTTACTGGTTTAGTACATAAAACTTAAAAAGTTCACCTAGGGTTCACCAAAATACTAATTTTACCATACTGTATTCTTGTTATTGTGTCTCCAAGTGTGGATTTACAATAAGCATATTTGTAGTGATGAGATGAGGTCGTAACGAAACCCTGACTGGTATGCTATATTGTCCTTGTTATTTGGAATGTCTTCTTTACTTATGTGTTTTCCTTTTAACTTCTTTGATGTTCATTCCTTGACTCGAGTATCGTTCAGAACTATCCTTCTACCTACACGAGGATTGAAGGATGCTATATACACACTCACACGATATTGGTGAAAGATGTAACAGACCAGATCAACATATTTCTTAATTCAGATCTATCTCTCATGAAAAATTATCTTTGTACGTTTTTGAACCATCAATAACTGAAAAAAATTCTTTTGAAACAAGTATATTGTTAATAATTTATTGCTTTAGAATACAAACAGTACTATAATAATCGACAATAGAGGACTACACGCAACACACGTATGTGTAAATTAGTTAAATAATTAGCATAACTGCTTACAATTACTACAATAAAAAATATAATTCAACGTCTCGTCCTATATTTGACAGAAAAAAAGAATTGCAAAATGAACATACCAACAAAACTAAGCAGAATTCTTGCCGGTTATGTTAGGGGATTAGCAATGCTTTTTGAAGGATTGTATCCCCCAACTGCAGCAATGTGTTCTAGTTTTTAGTTGAACTATCAAATAACATGATCAATCGCCGAACCGAAAGTGTAATGTCCCCCTTATTTGTCTGAAGAAGGTGTAAAGAAATGTGAAATTGGGTGAAGAAAACATATATAACACATCATATTTAGGGTATTCAATGGTGAACCGTTTCGTCCATGACATATTACCTCTGCAATCTTTCAAAATCCAAACATCAAAATTAGTACATATATGATAAGTATAAAGCAAAGAGAGGTCACTTCCCACCACTCCTAGTTTGATATTTCAATTGTTTTCTCCACAAATGGGGAATCTGTAAGCTTCCCCATGGCTCGTTTGCTACATCAAAATAAATGATTTCGCGTGCATCATCATCATTAATACTCATAGATACAATCCAATAAAGCTTCCGATTGAAAAAATTACCCGAATGATTTATTAGAAGATCCCCTGAAGCTGGTCATGTAGTGTTTTCCAAGAATTCAGTCCTCAAACCGTAAATATTGACGACAATTCTCATGTTTGACACCTCATCATTGTAAAAATTATGATAATGATCAATAAATAGATCTTTATAATTGTCACATGAGTCATCATATCCAAAACTATATTTAGTATAGAAAGAGGTACCCCAAGAGAACTACGTAATTTTATTGACTTATTAATGGTGGGATTCCATATACACATCTCCCTGCTTGATTGCAAAGACAAATCAACCCATTGGTAGTGTTGACACCCAATTTTGACTCTCCCCTATAGAAATTGATTCATCAATCTTTTTAAATTTCGAACGATATGAAATAATTAATTTTATGAAACTCAAAATATCTTTCAAGTTATTTTAAGGTAATTTTATCATTTTTATAAGTTTTAAAGTAACATATAGGTTTGATGTATTTTGTATATAATTAATATATTTATAAACATTTTGAAAATTATCTCAAAAAGATTTTAATTTTAGTAAGTATTTTATCAAATTATTTTAGCTTAAAATATGGCTATATTTTTTGAATCATTATTTACAATTTAGTTTATTATTTTATTTCGTTTAGATTAAAAACTCGTTAATTAATTAATATTAATTTATCCTATTTGAATCCTAGTCAAATCTTCTGGTTACGTCTTTAATTCGTTTGGCTAGATTATTAATTATTCTATTGCAATTGTAGGCAAATCTCTTCAACCTATTTAGAGATCAATGTTTTGGGCCTTTATTTCAGTCAACCCAACTCCCAACATTCCCTGAACACAATTCCCACAACGCATCTTCTTCTTTGTGAAGGAGAACCCAGCTAGAGCGCAGCCCATCGCGATCTAGTCCAGTGGATCTGGCGGCCTGAGTCCACTCTCGTGATTCGTCTTTCGCTTATCCTCAATAGGAAGAATCTTCCAGGTGTGAAGATCGTGTTTCTCTTTCGTTCTTCGCTCACAAATCGGGAGGACGCCATTCTATATCCATTGAGAATTTTATGATTTACATCTCCTCAACCTTATCTCTAAGAGGAAAATTGAATTTCAAATTCACCCCTTTTCTTTATCCAATTCCCCCCTCCCCCCCAAATTCGGCTCCATCTTTTAATCTATATAAACCCTGTCATTCTCAGTGTTAAGGGTTGGGAAATGACAAGAGACAAAGTGGAAGTAAACGAAAAGTTGGGACAAAAAATGGAAAAACAACGGAAAAGGTTGGGGAAAATATAGAAGAAAACCATCTTACATTGGAAACAAAAAATATACTATAAGATAACGAGGTGCACAAATTCATATACAAAATACATACGGAATAGACTCTGAACGATCGGAGGTTAGAGTTTAGTTTTGAGTTTGCTTTATCGTTCACTGCTTAGATTTTGTCGGATTCTCACTTGCGGTGGTGTTGGTAATATAGCTCCCTTCAACTCGTTCTCGTCTCAATTTTGCTGCCCGGAAAAGGTAATCTTCTTATGATCTTTAACATTTTTTTAGTTGGCATTTCATTTGAGAACTGAAGCTCTCTGTTGGTTTCTTCTCTCCCTCTCATGAATGCATCTATTCCATCTTGGTTCACTGTTAATGTCCAATAATTGCTCGATTTAATATCTTAGCTGATGTATCTCTTTAATTGTTGAATATGAAGTTTGAGTATCCCTACTTTTGATTCACTTTATTCTATTTTGAGGAAGTTAGCTGAACCTCTTACTCGCTATGCTTAAAATTGTTTGATGGTTCAAGTGCAAGTTAAGTAACTTATGATGTGTGTGTATATATATATGTGTGTGTTTCTATATCTTAACTCTAGCTAATTTGAATGTATGATATATATGAGAATGAAATATAGAGATTATATTAATTGGATTTCCCCAAAAAATCACTATTTATGAATCAATTCAAATTAGCATAATACATAAATATGACATTTAACTTGACCCCATTTCACATTTATGCCTTCCAACTTTGATTGTGCAGAAGTAGACACATAAACTTGTATAAAGTAAATATGTATCCAATTATATACTTCTATTTACTTGTTTCCAGCCATAATTTTAGATATGCCAATAGTAGTAGCACTTTTCTCATAGTTGCATGCCATACTATTGTTGTTACTCATACTAAACATCACATTATTTCGTTATTGTTATTGCTCCTATTTTATAAATGCTTTTTTATGTTCCCGGAAATCTATTTTATACATTCAGTGTTATTTGCTATGTCCTCTTAACTTTTGTGTTTTCTTTTTAGCTACTTTTATGTGCATTACTTGAGTCGAAGATCTTTCGGAAATAGTTTTTCTATCTCCACGAGGTAGGACTAAGACCTAAGTACTCTCTATCCTCCTCATACCTTGTTGTGGTATTGCACTTGGTTTGTTATTATAGTTGGCTCAATGTGAAGATGGATTACATGGATGTATAATTGTCATTTCTTGATTTTTTAAAATAGAGAAGTAAAAAGGTACAAGTAAAAATAGAAAAGTGGATAAGTAATCAGGGACAACGGGAGTATTATGATATGCAAATTTTTACACTATCGCCAGCCTATCCCAAGGACAATGCTTGACTACATTATGAAATGATGTAACATAGAGTATGCGTCAGTACTTGGAATGTACCCAGCATGCACAATATAGATAATAACTGAAAAATATATTGGTTGAGCAAACGATATCTTAGCAATGATACAATCTGAACATAATATAAATACTGAATTATAAGTGACAAAAATTGAAATGAATACAATGACCAAGTATTGATTATGACACAACAAGGTGAGACATAATATTGAAGTATAAACTGAAAATATGGTCAAATGCACTAGAGTCTAACAACGAGAGATACTTTTAACCGACATAAAATCACGTGAGCTAGATGCAAAGTCTGATGTATACCCCATCAAGAGGAACCAATTTACCTTGGCAGGGGTATAGATGCATTAATCGTTTAATCAATAAATCTTATGCCCAATATAGGGTACTTATGAACCTACTGGGCCACATAGTTCAAGCACGACGATGGTATGCTTAATCCTTGTCCAACCCGGTGTTAAGTCTACTTCAAACTGGAAATGTATATGACACAACATAACAACAATACTGGATAACTCAATATTCTGACATGTAAATTTGAGAATGAAAATTTAAGTACTAGCAGTATAGCATTAAAAATCTAAGGCATGTTTATCTGGTTAACTGTGCTAGCAAGTGTAATTAATCAATTAAGAGAATCTAAAAATTTAGGGTTCTAAGTTTCATGCAAGAAACTAAGCAATGTTCCCACGAAACCATGATAATTCGATTAAGACTACTATAAATATCACGACCCAAGCCTACACCCTAGATGTGGCTGGCACTTGAGAACCATTGTTGGTCTCCAAGCGAACCCTCATCTTGTCTAACTATCAATGGAAGACTGACTGAAACATACAAAGCTTAAAGTTGAATGCAACTCAATGAAATAAGTCTCAACTCAATTATAATATATTCAACTCAGTGAAATAAGACTAAACTCAATAATATTATACTCGACTGTTGGTACTCAAACTCCGAATACTGAACTCTAGATACTCAAATATGGATACTCTACTCAATACAAAACAACGATAAGAGATGAAATACATGGAAACTTTTAATAGTAGAAACCAACTCAATGTATTAAAGAAGAAAATATTATTACTTTGTATGCAAGGATACAATATAAACTCTTTTTGTATATGAAAATAAAAGTAAACTCTTTGTAAATAAAAATACAATTATCTCTGCGGGAGTTTTTTTAACTGACAACCATCACTTATTTTCTATGTGATGATATATTATTTGGCCTCATGCTGCCAGAACCCTCCATACCTTACCAGTGGTATATAACCTACTAATAAGTGGATCCACTAGTCTATGCTAAAGCATTAAGGAATCCTCTAAAAAGTATGACCCTTTCTATCCACAATGGCAACATGGTTTATGGGGGTTATGATTTGTCTAAACTCTCCCCCATATCGGTGTTCAAACTACTCCCAAAATATAACTAGCTCATATGTTTAAAAACATAACTATTTTTGTGGTTTGAGATAATTACTCTAAAACTAGCTCAAAGGCTTTCTAGGAAATTCTTGTTTCCTCTCTTGCTTAGATATGAAAGCATTTATGCTTTACTATAAAACTATCTCAAAGGTTTTGTTGGAAATCGATGTTTTCTTTCTTTTATAAAGGTGAAACATTTTACCTTTGAGAATATATAGTTCCCATATACTTGTTTTAAGAAATGAACTTTACTCTTTACTCCTTACTCAATTCAAAATTCAAGTCTTAAAACAAGTTTAAAGCATTTGCAAAAGACTTCTTAAAATAGAGTTCATGCCAAATTATGGACGTGAACGACTCAATTAAAGGTTTTTAATAACCATATATAGAACTCAATACTTGGGACTCAAGAACTTCAATGATACTACTCATTTCAAAAATGCTCAATTCAGAGGGTTCATGCAAAATTATGAGCATGAATCAGTCATCTCAAGGACTCAAAGATACTTCTAATCTCAAAATTGCTCGACTTATAGGGTTCATACAGAGTTATGGGAAACTCAACTCAAGGACTGCATGGATAGCATGAAATAGTCCCATTAATAGGAATATAATCTCAAAAGGACTATGAACTCAATACTCAATACTTAGAACTTGAAGATACTGATCCGCTCAAAGATACTCAATTTATAGAGTTCATGAAGAATTTATGGGCATGAACGACTCCACTAGAGGGTCGACATAACAACATAGAAATCATGTATACAACTCTTCCCATTCTCAGACTTAATTTGTCAAAACTTAGTTTGAATCAATAAATGATCTCAAATGATTGACAATTGAACTCAAAAGATTTCTTGATTTCTACTCTTAACTGTAAATTATGAATTCAAGAGTTATGGTCCATAATATGAAGGATATTTTGATGATAAAGTAGACTCAAGAATACATTCTCATACTCACTTGCTCGAGTCTTGACAAAAGTTATTAGAAATTGTAGAAGATTCCTAAAAAAGATTCAAAGAGACTTTCTCAAAATGTTTTGAAAGACCTCTCTAGACATAACTCTTAACTCAACCTTGAAGTTGAATTATAAATTAAATGTTATTACTATGTTATCAATGATTTCTAGGTGTTAAAAAGTCAGTTAAAGTGTTTAGAATTGATAGGGCTTGAAGGTACCTTTTTAAAGGACTCAAACGGGCGAAACGATGGAGAAGGGGTGTGGGCAGGTGACCTTGGCGCACTAAGTGAAGCCGGGTCCCAAAATATCCCTACAAAGGAGTGTTTTAGATGCATTGGAAGGTATGGGGCTCCAATCCCCATCCCAGAAAACCCCGACGACTTCTTTTGCTTATCTTGTCACCCTAACTCACCAAGAATTGAACAATTTCTTCCTCAATCACTTAGATTTGATTACTTAACATAAGTACACTCTAATATACTTAAAACAACAATTAAATAACTAATTCTCATTTTATAAATCATCAAAACACCAACAAAATAGTATTTAAAATGAACTTTAAGAACAATTTACAAGAAATTATATCTTTCAATCTTTATGGACGAGTTTGAATATAAAAATTATGTTTGGCGTGTGGGTGAATGAACCCAACAGTACGAAAACTTACATGCCTCTTAGTGATCAAACCCATGGCAAAAATCCGCAACAAATTTCAAAAATCTCGATGAACGCCTTAATCATTTCCTATTTTCTTCTCTTTTCTATTATTTTCTTTTCTTGAACTCTCAACTTAGACCTTAGGAGTATATTAGGATTATAAAACTTAACTAATAAGATTAGACCCTTAAAAACTTACTTAAAACAAATTAAATTATATTGGGTAAGGAAAAGACCTAAATACCCCTTACTATTTTCGGTTATTTTTCATTAACTAGACAACTTGACTTTAAAAGGGAATATCGCACTCATCCGACCTTCAAACATACAAAACATGGCGGAGTTAAAAATATAATTCAAAGATCTTTCATAGGCTATCTTGTAGCCCACGTAACTCATCCTGTAATAACAGTTATGGTAGTTTGAACTTGACCTAAAACTCAAAACTTAAGCATAACTTGCAACATTTCAGATTTTTTCTATTTCAAATTAAGTTCCATTTGGAACTAAAGTTGCTACATGTAGTGATGTGAACTTAGCAATCAAGAAATTTTAAATTCCTCAAGTAAAATATAACTCACAAGAAATGATGGTTCAAGTCTTATTTCAAAACAGCTAAATCACAACCAATATTTATGGTTTTAGATACTCTATGTCTAAACAAGACATGGAGAATCACGAATCTAACTGAATTCTATGGACGTAATGGGTGAAAATAACCTACTAGTAAATTCCCACACACCTAGTAACAAAATTTACGGAGAAATCCTTTAATTTCGGGTTTGAAACTTTAATTAAATTTGTCACACCCCCAGCTACCCC